TTTTGACAGTTCACTAGCTACTGGTATCATTCGACCTTCTCACAGTCCTCGGGCCTCACCACTCCACATGGTTCGCAAAATGGATGGGATAAGTTGGCGACCATGTGGCAACTACTGAGCATTAAACGTAGTAACACGTTTTGAAAGCAATCCCATCCCTCACATACACGACATTACGGCATCGCTCAAGGGCAGGACTATCTATTTTAAGGTTGGTCTGGTACGAGCATTCCACCAGATCCCAGTCGCTCTTGAAGATATCGAGAAAACTGCTATCACGACTCCTTTCGGTCTGTTTGAGTTCCTACGAATGCCTTTGGATTACAGAATGCTGCCCAAACTTTCCAAAGGTTTATCGATAGCTCGGTACAAGATTTTGCTTTTGTTTACGTTTTTATTGATGATCTGCTAACCGCGTCATTAAACGTAGATGAGCATTATCAGCATCTTACACTCTCATTACAACGCCTTTTGGTTAAAGGAATAATGGTCCACCATGACATTTGTGAACTGGGCAAGGCAGAAATAAAATTCTTGCGTCGCATCATTAGGCATGAGGGTATTCTACCTTGTGAAGATGAAGTACGTACAATCATGGAGTACACTGTACCTTCCTGACTCAAGGAACTGAAGGCATTCTTCGGTTTGGTCAATTTCTGCCACTGTTTCATCACAGATCTTGCAGGAATATTGCGACCGCTAACCAACTTACTCCATTGCAATCCGAATAAACTGGACCTAAGAGATACTGCGCTTACTGCACTTACAGAAATCCAGAGTCTTTGGTACAAGTGACACTCCACGCTCGTCCTGACCGATCAACCAAGCTCAGCATAGCTGTGGATACATCAGATTCTTTCATGGGAGCTGTAATGTTGCAGAACATCTCGGGAAGTTGGCAGTCTCCCGAACTTTTCTCATGATACCTCACTTCCCTCGAGACGAAGTTTATCGCTTTTGCTCGAAAACCCTTTGGATTCTACTGTGCTGCCAAGCACTTTCGGCAAGCAGTAGAAGTTTGTGATTTCATACTTTTCACAGAACACTTGCATCTAACTTATGCTTTGTATACCAAGTCTGACCATTACTCACCGCGAAAATCCAGACATTTAGACTATATCTTCCAGTTCACAACAGATGTTTGTCGTTATAGAGGTTAGTCAAACTATGTTGCTGATGTTTCCTCACATCCAAATAAATGCTGTTACTTCGCCTGTGTTCGACCTGCCCTCTATGGCTGCCGCCCAAGCATGCGATTCTTCTTGTCCCGAAGCAGCTAGCTCTAAATCCCTCCAGAGCCAGTACGTACTTCTAGCCGTTAGCTCAGGTACCATACTGTGTGAAACCGCCTTGACTCATCGCACCCTGTGCTTATTGACGTCTCGTGTTCGACACCCAGCTTGGATTATCTCACTCAAGCATTGCGGCCACTTTACGTCTCCTCACTGAACGACACTTCTGGCCTTCCATCAATAAAGATGTCCATATATATTTGCAAAATATTGCTCACGATGTAAATGATCTAAAGTGCGTATTCACGTAGCTGACCCTATCGGCGCATTCACTACGCCTGATGCTTGCTTTTTTCGTTCACATTGACTCTGCAGGCTCGTTACCATCTTCGCATGGGTATGATCACATGCTTACATGCATCGCCTCACTAAATGACCCGAAGCTATTCCCATCACGCATACTAAGGCGAAGAAAGTTAACCGCCGTTTCTTAGAAGGAACACTTAGTCTAGACCTACGACCATCGCTCTTCTGGTACCGTTGACTTCACTCAATCTTGGTTACAGCTGGTCTGATAATCCACTCTCTGGCAATGTACTTGGTCGATATTCTGTTTCCAACTACGTCCGGCATACGTATGACTCCAACTCTAGTTACCATGGTCGTTTCTGGATTCCTGGCTAAACTTGATTTCGCCCTACGTCCACAGCGTTCTCAAACACTAACCTTTCGAATGACATCTTCAGGTTCCGGGAACAAACCACCTTGATGCGACACGTAATTTGAGCAACAAGCATGGCCCGCAACTGCTGGTACCGTTCTATCTAAATGAACTTCGGTGAAAACTTGAGCATTATATATCGTTTCCTGTTCGTCAACCCATCCTTCCTACAATCACAAGTTTGCTTATTATTCTCACGTAAAACCCGGTTCGATTCAGAGGTGTTCACCCTTTCTATTTGGAGGCTGATGTTGGGATTGGTTAAATGACATTATTTGTTATATGCACTTTTACCGGCGAACGTTTTACCGAATGTTTGTTCATTTGTACTTTTTTTTTAAGCAGTGAACTTTGTACTTTTTGTATAAATATTGTCAATACACTACGGTCACATTGCTTCGCCTCTTCCCGGTGGCCATCTTGCATTCATCGTTTTTCTCACAGACGTTTCGTACTGAAGGTTCCGTTTTGATATACCCACTTCTCTTCTGTCCACCTCAATACACAAAACAACACACCATCCTGTATTGCTGTGCTTCTTTATCGGAAGGCTATGATACTGAAATTTATTTCAATTTTAGTAGTCTTTATGAATTTTATCTTAACACATAACTGCTTTTTATGCTAATATATGAACGGTTAAGCAATGCTCTGGTTATATACATCCAATTGTCTCGTTGTTAGTCAATACTTTTCTGTCTATATTCTGTCTCTTTTCAGAAACCTATCAGCAATTGAACAACCATCATGCTTATACGCAAAATGCACCTTACGTAAGCGCTTATCAAGGTTACAGCCGATATCAAAAGCCTCCGATTCAACACTTTCCGACAAATACCCTTCAGTATTATACACACATACCAAGAACTCCGCTGTGTACCTACACTATTTGCAATCACCTGTTGAAAATGTGACTGCATTGGTGATATGATGTAAACCTGCTTTTAGAAAGAACTGCTGTTATTAATCAACCTGAGAAACCTTTTACAGTGAATGTGGTAGCATTTGTATCAACTTGATCAAGCCTATAAACTGGTATGCCCTTTGCAACAGGCTGGTATTTGAAAATAAATATCCTATTATTACAAAATCCCTAACGGACATACAGTTCAGTTTGATGGGTGATTTGGTAGTGTCAGTGACATTTAATTGACCCTTAACACTTTTAGATCGAAAAGAATAGGATAAAAAATAGACTAAATTCAATTGAATTGGTTGAACCACAGAGCTAAACTTCTATTACAACCCGAATGTATCGTTATCTTGGGGAATGCACTAAAAATACGTATAAAGCGATGAATTTGATGTCACTGCACCTAAATAGATTTTCACTGCGACAATCACAGTCAGACGAATTCCTGCTTCATATTACTTCGGATTATGTCTATCGGTTTACATGTGCGTATCAAGCCACTTATATTAGGAGAACAGAAAACATATTCCAAAGAAACCGAGAATTGGTAAGCTTTCTACGGCATGATGGCATGCCACTTTCTGGTCATTGAACATGATGTTCATATTTCTAAATCGATGCTAGGCGAGCACTGGAAACTTGGAAGGTTGTTTCGTCCAGGCACGGACTGGTCAACAGTGCACTCAGTGGTCCGGAAGTTTGGCGTCCGAGCTAACGACCGAAGATCCTGGGTTCGAATCATGCGAGGTGTAGGAGTCGGATATACGCACTGCTGATGAGTCCCATACCAAGAAGCTTAATACTGATTCGGTTCGATGAATTTATTTCATGCATAAGTTGACTCACAAAGTCATTAAGAAAACGTGCAGAGTAGTAAGTCGAAGTATGGAAGGTGGGTATGGCATCTCTGTTTTTTTAAGCCTGACCCCTCATTCATAAACAGACAAAAAGTCAAACCACATGTGCTGGGTAGAGTTGTCGTTGAACGCACAAAAACTCGGTCAAAAACAGTTTAGTTCTTCAGTGAATAGTTGACAGGGTCAGAGCAAGTGTGGAAGGACTTATCTCGTACGTCCTGTATATGGAATAATCCATGTAGGCGTGATATGGTAGCACACGCTCTAGGTATAACCATGAACCTTAGTAACTTATCATATGGGGTGCGGGGAAGACAGAGGATTATTGGTTCATGGTGATGCTTGTGAAAAGTAAAACTCTACTACTGAATAAGCGGTAGTAGGTAAACCATAAAAGTTTTGGTCAATGTAATAAACTGATATTACTGCAAGCTTTCGAGTTACAATTAGTGTTTTTTACGAACTTTAGTCTTCTTACCGAACTTTCGGTTTCAGTGTAAAGATATCCAACTCCTTACTTTAACTTCTCTTCTACTCGCTTGATAATCTCCACAGACCCCCCTCCTTAACTGCTGTACTCTTTTATTTGTAGGCTATAATAATACGATTTACCTAAGTTTTAGCGGCCTGTATGAATTTTGTTCTGACTAGACAGTGCTTTGTGTACTCCACCATGAAAGGATAAACATTGCTCAGTTTATATATTTACAATTGTCTCGTTACTCTTCCCTCTCTTTTCTCTCTCTTTTGATTCTTCCTAGAACACTATTCGCAGTGGAAAGTCCATGCTGGCTCCACGCAAAATGCACCTTCTATATGCGTATCTCTAGGTTACAGCTTGTACCAAGCGCCTTCCAATCGACACCTTAAAACAAATTCACTAATGCGGTGTGAAAAACACCAAAGAACTCCACTGTTCACCTTTCCTATTCGTACTCACTTATTGAAAATATGGCTGCATCGAACTGTCCCTGTCAAAGACACGGTCTAAATATGTTATCAGAAAACGACTTTCATTTCTTGTCCAACTATTCTAACCTATGCAGTAAATGTTGTAGCTGGCTTATACCATATCGTGGAAAAATTATTGGATATATTAGATACAGATTAATTTTTTCTCTTGTTCGTTTCTAGATTAATTCATAATCTGCTCTTTACAGTCCCAGAACACAAGGTACTCTTTTACAATACACAAAATCACAAACGGCTCAAGTTGCATATTATAAAAGCTCTTTAAAACACAATGATTTAACGAAAGTTCAGAGCAAGACTTTGTTTAAATAACCCAACCTACTAATCATACGACGCGGAAAATGCGATTCTTGAGCTCTGTATCGCGCATTTTTGGAGTTGTGAATAGGTTTGCTTCTAAATTGTTCATGGTCGTTTATCATTTTCAGAAAGTCATCATCAACTGCCATAAAAACGGTCGCACTTATACCTGGTGATGGAATAGGTCCAGAAATATCCGCTGCTGTTCAGGAGATTTTCAAGTTTGCTGATGTATGTTCTATTAATAAGTGGTCATTTGTGCACAATTTTTAAGTAATGCTGGGGTAGTTAATTTACGACTCACTCAACGCATGTATGACCATAGTTTAATACAATCTATCTTTACACTCCAAGGAAAACTTGTGTTTTTTTAATCATTAATCCTTTTCACCTTGTCACAAGTTGTAGTTTTGAAAATTTTCATTTTCTAAAACCTTCAGTAATTAGTGGAAAAATTTTAATTCAATGCTCGGTCGGTATTTACTTTAAATGTGTATCTCCACCTGTAAAATGTGCTTATTTTTGTAACCAGTCCACATATACGTGACTTTTCTGACGTCTAATTTTTAGTAACCATCATTCTATTCATCCATAGTATGGGTTAATATTTGTCCTTATTGTTAAGACTGTAATATACAGCTACCAAATAGTTGGGTCACGCTACTTTTATTTAGCCGCTTATGGTCAAATTTTTCCTTTTTTAATACAGATTTATTTACATTTCTATTATCTGGAAAACAAATTGTCCATTATCGTTCTGTACAATGGAAAACAATCTTAGTGTTTGGTTCTGATGAAGTATTTCAACACATTTAAATAGGATCCTAAACAAATTGTGACATTTGTTAAACCTACTTTTATCACTAAAGTCTTATTTATTCCCAACTATTTTAAGGAAAATAATTAGGTTTCGTCATTCAGTATTCCGTAATTATTAACACTTTTTTATATATGGAAATTAGGTTCCTATCAAATGGGATCCAGTGGATGTAACACCTCAACCCGCAGAAGATGGTCGCTTCCGTATGCCACAGTCTTCGCTAGATACTATACGCAAGCATGGAATCGGGCTAAAAGGTCCATTAGCTACTCCGATTGGAAAGGGTCATCAATCTTTAAACTTGGCATTGAGAAAGTGAGTTTCATTCATCTGTCATGCATTAAGATTAGCTTTCGATTTACCAGATATATTTTTAATTTTTAAGTTAACTATTAATATCACAAATTAAAGATGGCCGTCAAGCGGTCGGAGTTAGTCGGTATGACCCATGAGACCTAGGTTCATTTTTAGTTATTACATGTTAGAGGTATTCCTAATGTTTCCAGTCAAATTCTAGCCCGTCTAAAAAGCCACCACAGCTTTTATGCTTGTGATTGACTTATCATGTGATAGTTAAGAGAACAAGGATTTATCATTTGGATTGAAATACCGGATAAAACACCGTATATGATTCTTGACATGAGACTATATTCTACTTAAGGAGGGTTGGTTTCTTTGGAATGCAATTTAAGTTAACATTTGAGAAATGTGGTCAGACATAACTCATTATTGACAAAATTGAGAAGCATTTGAGTTAGAAAGCAGCGTTTCAGGTTTGTTAGTATCCAGCTTCATATTTCGGTTCTTGATACAACCCCTACTGAACAGCTTAGTCAGTTGCTGGACTCGTTAACACAAGTCATCTAGTCACTTTTTCGTTGTATTATTAATTCCTAAAAAAATATGTGTTATTTTCACTAACCAATAATTCTCAGTCACTGACCAAGCTTAATTTAAATTTTTGATGTCTCTAAGAATAAAATACATCAGCTACTTTGAGTTGGACAGTTTGAATGTCAATAACTAATAAATACGACAGTGTGCTTCATGATCTTGCAAATCTAACTTACTGAAGAACAATAAGGTATTCGGTTAAATATGTATACATTTGCTTTGAAATTCCCGAAATTCGCGTAAAACGCACATTCCCAAAAACTGCCAAAAAGTTTGGGGTGAAGTATTTCGTAGATTCTCGTTTTCACGCTTAATAACTGTTTGTTTGACAGATATGAAATCCAAAACATAAAAGTGTTTGTGATTAATCTACAAAAAACTTTTATGGACACCGGTATTCGCTATTTGGTTATTTTAGATCACTTCATTAGCTATCTTCTTAAGTTCTACAATAAGTGACCTTGTTTGACCTTTGCCGTTATTCTTTTTCTACACGCCCACGTGACCTCATCATTATCTGTTTTATACCCAAACCTAATAACTTCCAAATACATATTGATCAACTTTTAAAACTTTTGATCCAAAAAGCTTAGAAACTGTTGTACAAACCTATAGATTTTGGTCATGAACTTAACACGACATCAACCTTGGAAAATCACTTCGTTTTTCTCAAAGTTAAGTTAAGGTGAGAAAAACGAAGTCACTTGCACTTATACACTTTACTTAGTTACTTAGAGAAATAAGAACTAAGTAGGGAGTCAGTGATAATCGATACGAAGCCTGGTACAACTGTGTGTCAATCCAAGATGCCATATCATATCAGAACAATGAGATGAAATTAAATAAGTGGACTTTAGTCGATAGTCAAGAGTAATATAGTATTGATTAATAGTTACTATCCGATTGATGCGACAGTCGTTTTGTTCAGTTGAACTCAACGTCCTCACTTTGATCACAAGATTTCAACTATTCTCTTACTTCTGAAGGATAGAATGCAATCATTTTGAAACAACTAGCTATGAAAGTTTCCTTGTGATATTAAATAGTCATAACTATGCACATTAACTTACTTCCAACCGTAGCTGCTACCTTGACGTGGTAATTGGGCTTGCCTATCGTGATGACCCAACCGAGCTATATTGGCCGTAATATATGTTCCTGTAGGTTCTACCATGCGATTCAGGTTGCTAGGAGGACGAGACTAAAAGCAGCTACTCAAGGTCTGAGAGCGAAGTTGTACTGCTGACTGCTGGGGGGGGGTGATAGCAGTAAGGTGTTTCCCTCGGACAACCAGCATCTGCAGTGATGCTGCCTTCTCACAAGGAAGGAAGGGTTAGATATGGTCGACCCTAAAAATGTCACACCCCACCTTACTTCACGGATTCCCGTCTCCGTAGGTAAGGGTGCCCACTAAAGGCTTCTAAGAGCGGAGCTAATACTCAAAAAACCTTAATAAAAAGTCCGTGCATGACCGTCCTCAAGCAGTTGTCCCTTGGGCTCTGCGGTCACGCTCCCAGGTCGTTAAGACCAACAGTAATCTACCTTCCTTTTCAGGTTCCTCAAGAAACAACCTTCCGCGGTGTGGGCAGTCGGGAAGTGATAAGCGCCCTCATACCCGTAACAGCACGCGAAACCAAATCGGTCGAAATCAAATCCTTCTTACACTCCCTAATACCTCTCTTATCTCCACGACTACCTCTTCCTTCATTCCTTTATCACAATGCACAGCTTTTGCAAACGATGCGAGTTCACGAAACGTCATTTCTGGTCTCTTGGAACCCCTCTCTAGACTACATGTTGGAGCATTTGATGTACGGATATAGTGTCAAATAGGGCAACAGGCTTCATTGGCTAGGACTTTAGAATCTCGCGTCATCGATGTGTGCTGCGTCTCGGAAACGCACATACAGGATCCTAGTAACATCATTCACTTGACCTCACCATGTCAAGATAAAGAAGCAGCTCGATTTATTCTTCGTGTATCTGGAAGCCCTGATGTTGCTTTCCGGCGTACCTCTGGCGTAGGTATAGCATTGAGTCCTAGGGCAGAACTAGCTCTCCTAGATTGGATCCCAGTTGATAGTCGCTTGTGCGCTGTCCGACTGAACGGGACAGTAAGGATTCGGAACGATAGACACACTTGCCGTTGCCTCTTCGTCGTACCTGCCCACGCTCCCACTGACTGCAGTTCAGACGAAGTGAAAGAATAGTTTAACAGAAAGCTTTCGGACCTCCTCCTAAAAGTTAGGCGCGCTAATGTAGTAATAATGGCTGATGACTTCAATGCTCAAGCAGGTAGACTAAGTGAAAATGAAAGACACCTAGGTGGATGTTATGGTGTCGCGGCTCAAAGAACAAACAATGGCAACCGACTGTTGCAACTGCGCTCAGATAACCGCCTATCTCTAGCAAACACTAATTTTAAGCATAAGGAGAAACATATTTTGACCTGGCGACCCCCGAAGTCGTCTCAACGTTGGACGCAACTAGATCATATCGCCATCAGCCACCGATGGAGAGGTTCGATAGAGGACTGTCGCTCGTTCTGGGGCTTATGTTTAGATTCAGATCATGCTCTAGTGCGAGTGCGTATCTGTTTGAAGCTTAATGGACATAAGAAAGACACCGTAAGGAAGCCTCTTAGGGTTTTACTCAATGACAATAAGGCGAAGAATATATTTCAGGAACAACTAGAAAAAGAGTTAGGCGACTATGTAAGCGATTCCCATCCGGAGGCAGGTTGGAATGATATCAAGAAGGCTGTGGAAACAGCAGTGATATCTGCTAGTAAGGTTAACCATAAGGCTAGAATAAAGCCGTGGATCTCAGTAGCATCTACCGAACCGATAGACGCTCGTAAACGCATCCCATCTGACTCTGAACATGATGAAGAACGAAGTCAGCTTAGGCGCAGGCTGATAAAAAGCCTGCGCAACGACCGCAAACAGTGGTGGGTGGCGAAAGCAAAAGCGATGGAAAAGGCAGCGGCGATAGGCAACAGTAGACAACTTTTCCGCCTCATCAAAGAAACCGGTATCAGGAACCCGAATGTGAGTGAGACTATCTCAGAAAAGGATGGTTGTATCATTCGTTCTCAATCCAGTAGATTGGATCGATGGGAAGAACACTTTAGGGATCAGTTCAATTTGCCTTCAGCCAAACTTCGGTTACCTACGATCCCCAGTCATCCTGACTGACTGACTGACCAGTCATCCTGAATGCCAAATCGATTTAAGTCCTCCTAGTCTTTATGAAGTTGAGAAAGATATAGGAAATCTAGAGGGAGGTAGAGCAGCAGGTCCTGATAGGCTAACTCCGGAGATTTTTGAGGTTGGTGATCCATTCTGAGCAGCTAGGTTGACTGAGATCTTAGGTAGGATCCGGGAACTGGGAATTATCCCATCTGACTGGTTTCAATCACTGATTGTCCTAGTCTACAAGAAAGGACAAAAGTCTTCCTATCACGGTCACAGGGGAATCAGTCTAACTGATATAGTTTCTAAAATATTGGCCTCAATAATACTTCGGCGCTTAACGAAAGCTCATGAAGAGCACATTATAGAAAACCAGGGAGGCTAGATTTCTACCTGAACGTGGATGTATAGACCAAATATTCACACTACCTCAGGTCTTAGAACGAAGACACGCGTTCAGACGCCCCACAATAGTAATATTTCTCGACCGTAAGACCGCATACAACTCCGTTGATCGTGAGGTTCTTTGGCAGTGTCTCTCATTAAAGGGTGTATCAAAGAAGTATATTAACCTTATACAAGCTCTCTACTCGAACACCACTGGTCGAGTGAGAGCTTATGGCGAACTGTCAACGGAATTCTTCACTTCAAGTGGTGTCCGTCAGGGATGTTCACTTTCTCCATTCTTGTTTAATTTTATCATAGACATGCCCCTAGAAATAACCTTATCGTCGTCTGAATTTTCAGGAGTAGACCTTCTACCAGGTGGCTCGCTTATTGACTTAGAATATGCCGGTGGCATAGTTCTATTCGGTGAAGACGCTGACAAAATGCAGAGTCTTCTGACCACCCTAAGCAACAATGCAAGCATGTTCGGTATGCGGTTTTCCTCCATCGAAATGCAAAATGTTGCTTCAAGACTGGGTTGCATCGGCACCTGAACTAGTGATAGGGAGTGAAGTAGTTGAACGTGTAGACCGCTTCACTTATCTGGGAAGTTTCATCAGTGCTGATGGCCTGGTGGCTTGCGAAATCTCAGCATGGATACAGAAAGCTCGATTAGCTTTTGCCAACTTGCGTCACTTACGGCTCAGTCGATACATCCTTTTGCTAACCAAAGGACGAGTGTACTGCGCAGCAGTTCTCTCCGCCCTACTATACGGATACGAAACATGGCCATTAAAAGTAGAGGACATTCGTAGGTTGCTTGTCTTCGATCATAGGTGTCTCTTATGGTGTTAGTAGTATGGTTTTCAGATATCCATTTTTTAATGAATATCAGGTTCCTTTCACTTTGCGATCTACAATAAATTGTCGTGCTACCTTTCTATTTTTTCACTATCTTAATTTCATTTATTTATAGAGAATTTAATCTTTATGCCAATGTTCGACCATGTAAATCTATCGAAGGTTATGAAACTCCTTATAAAAGCGTTGATTTGGTTACAGTCAGGGAGAATACCGAAGGCGAATATTCTGGTATAGAACATGTGGTAAGTATTAAAGAATTGGCTTATGCTTAATCATACATATATCCCATGTTATTGATCTCAGGCAAGAGACTGCTGTGCAAAGTAACCAATATTGAGAAAACTGTTATGAATAGTAACTCAATTGTTATTAAGTCGTTCGCATTCTCTTTCTTTTCTTATTCAAATTCCTGGTGTCTTATTCTGTGCTGCTTAGTGATATTCAGTTCTTAACTGAATAAAACTACTAGTTATGTATATCACTTTATCTGACTGCTTGTTAATCAATGAACTAATATCTATTAGCATCATCCCAACTTATCATGTATGAAGAGATGTGTCCGTTAGTCGGTCAGTCAAACACAACGTAGAGCCTAGTATGTTTGTATATCAATTCAATTTGTCATACCTCATTAGCACAACGAAATGAAGTTATCTAAACGAATCCCATAGTAAAGGTAGTAATAGTGTTGGTGATTATATTAAGGGTTAGGCGTCAAAGGTACGATTCAAGAAAATGTAAATTAGTGACACCCCCAAAAAATTACTACAAATTCAGAGGCTTCGAATCTGAAGAGGGACAATGAGTGGGTGCACCTGCGTCATTACAAACAAATGTGAGCCATATCATTCTAAGTCGCTAACCACTGGTTACGATGATTACGTCGACCTTAACCAGATAGTCTACACCTGTTAACATGGTTCGAATCACTTGTAGGTTACTTCCTGAACTGATGCTATGTTTTGGTTTGGTCGCACCTAGCTTTCTTCCAGCCTGCTCCTACATCAGACACCATCGGTCATCAAGGTCGTCGGTGGTTGGGTATACGTAACTCATGTCCCGACCACCTCAATTGACGATTCACTACTTCGACAGTTGAATCTCCATTCTTACCTAGCTGCCTTTTCCTAATACCATCATTGCTCCCTCCGTGGTCGCAGGATATATGAGCAATGCTTCGGATGCCAGGAAATTACGAATATCATTCTTAGCAAGCATGTTTCACACCCGTAAAGTAGGATGGAGCGTACTGCTACGCATTAAATTTTTCCTTTGGTTAGCTGACAGATATCTCACCTACGCCGTTTGACGCAGGTTGGCAAAAGCCAGTCGAACCATCTGTATCTGTGCTGAGATTTCTTCAGAAACCAGATTATCAGAACTAATGCAATTCCTGAGATAATTGAATTAATCAATGCGCTTAGCTACTTCACTCCCTATTAATAATTAATCCAGGTACTGACATAGCTCAATCGCTAAGCATCATTATGCATATGGAGGGAGAGGATCGTATCCTAAACATGCATGTGTACGTCATATTGGTAAACAGTTTGAATTATTAATAACCCAATGATTTATTAACATCTGTTTCGACACAGCACATTTGAATTCGGCAATAACAAATATAAGATCACTTAAAAAAAAGGAAAATCAGTATAAACTACAGTTATATAAAGAAACAGGCTCTTTAATCTTTGTACATCTAATTTCTTCTTTCGTTTAACTACATTTTTTTATCAATACAACCAAATTTAAACTTATACATTTCAACCATGTACGATAAATTTTATAAACGTCGAATTTTTTTTTCATCTTAATTAATGTATAGACTTTGTATATACTATTCTTCATTCAATTTTTATTACTAGTTATACACTATAATAGTTGTTTTAACGTAAAAAAGCCATTGACATCATTTTTCTGTTTCTGAGTAGTATATTTTCAACAAACACTACCTAGTTGTTCTATTTTTAGTATTATTAGTGTTATTATCAATAGATGAAGTATTGAAACTTGATTAGTTGAGGTGGTTGGGACATGTGTTACGTATGCCTAACCACTGACTGCCTCGGCGAGTGATGTTTTGTGGTGTAGGAGAAGATTGGAAGAAAGCTAAGGGCAGCTTAACCAAAACATGGTACAAATCCATGAAGTCAGTGGGTTGGGTTATGTTGATAAACTACCTGTTTGGGGTCCGCGATGGTTGGAGACCTTGAACGACATGGTTCTAAATCGTTTACAATGGTGCAAGTGCACCCACTCTTTTTGTGTGTCCTCTGAAATTCTAATCTTCAGCATTCTTCATCATCTCTATCTTTCGCTTTCTAAATTTAACTCAATGAATTACACTTCTTGAATAATGTCTTCGTACCCTAATCTTCTCCATTATTGCTAATACTTCTGCTGTCTCTATCACTATTGGCTTTGAACGGACAATTGCGTCTCTGTGTAGATACGATATGGCAACCTGAACTTATGTACGTACTTACGAAGTTCTACGTTGTAACTGACTGACTGACCATTATTATCGATATCGTTTTCCATAAAATTCATTATTTATTTTCGAAACTATAACAATGGTAGTAGTTCTGCTTTTCTCGTCGTTAAACATATATATATGAAATTAATAAATATTGTCGTAGATATAATGATATTTATATATTTATATATATATGCATAGATTGTAGATGGTGTTGTTCAAAGTATTAAATTAATCACTGAAGAAGCAAGTCGACGAGTTGCTAAATTTGCTTTTCAATATGCAAAAGATAATGGTAGACGTACTGTAACAGCTGTGCATAAGGCTAATATTATGTAAGTTATTTTTTAATCTACTCTGTTTTTCTTCAAATTATATTAGATTTTAATATCCGTTCATTTGCTATCATCATTCAACTGTTTGTTTATAATAATTAAGTTGATGGAAAAATTGAGTTGAAAAATGGTAATTTATTTTTAATCTGATGGATTTCAGTGGATCACAGTTGATGTTTTGTAACTCAACTAAATCGTAGTCTCAAGAGCCAGTAATTTATCTCGGTTACTCAAACTAACATTGATGCAGTGGGGGGTGTTTCTAGAAGATGTTTTAGGTAGCGTTTCTTCTCCATGAATCAAAACAACTGTAGTTTCTAGCGATATAAACATTGATTGTGGTGATAACTATAAAAACTTGAAATTGCTTTTCATAGCTTCAATCGATAAGGATTTCAGTTACTTACTGTTGCGCTCGTCTCTAGGTATGCTTAAACTATTACGATTTCACCTTAGTCGAATAACGAGAACAAAACAATGAACCAGCGTCCAGGTAGGCTACTGTGATCTCTTGACCAAGTTGAATCAACAAGAAGTCTTGATATAGTGTAGAAATTGTATTCTACAAACACCCAACCGGCACAAAATTAATCCAAACACTGAAATTGCGTTTATTTATACTCTATAGAGACGTCTTTGGGACAGTGACAAAAATAGCACACTAAAATGACACAGTAATCAATCACAACCAAGAATTTTCCTGGTGGGAAATGTGATCTCAAGGTCAACTGATCGGTCCATGAAATAAATCCAAAATAAAGATATTTATCAAGCGAGTTCTGGGAATCTAACATCCCCAACACTTAATAAGCTACCATTCAACAGAACTGTTGTATTCCTGTTATTTGACTTCAGTCTGTAAAACTAGTTGACCAGATCAGCATATTTAGGGTATTTTCATGAATTCAATTTAATATAATTGTCATCTACAATCGTGGCATCATTTTGTCATCTTTAACTCTCATCTCATAACTTTGTCTCGTACCAACATGGATATTTTACTAAGTTTACTGTCTTATAAAGGTCACTGTCTCCAATATTTAGAAACTGCGGACTGTGTCCATAGCTCTTACCTAATAATAACACATGTATTATGTGAGTAATGTATTTTTCTCCTCTGAATTGACTGCTACCAACCAAACTCGCGTATTTAGTCTACAGTACTGAATGCTCGGTCATTTCCTATTTCAAAGGGACAAACAAACGAGTGTTCATGATACTATGATCATACAACAGTATTCCAAAAAGCATATGACCTGCAGTCATCATCACATCAATCTATGATAAACAATTGTAGAGAAAATAATTTCGAATTAGCACTAACAAACAGTGTATTCTGTGATTGTGTTTAAACTGATAGTTTCAAAAGGTAACATAGATTAACTAATCTGTTTTCTTAATTTTTTTTTCATTTTCCGTTTCATTCCTCTCTCTCTCTCTCTCCAATAAAAAAGGAGAATGTCAGATGGTTTATTCCTTCGTGTCTGCCTTGAAGAAGCCGCAAACCATAGGGATATTGAATTTAATGAAATGTTTCTAGATACTGTCTGCTTAAATGTAAGTTGATGAAGAAAAGCAAGAAATATAATTTGTAAAAATTATTAACTATTCATGTCGTTCTTTTTTGAAAACAGTATTCTTTTGTTCTTTTTTTTACTGGTTAAAGGCTTTGAATGACACATGATGATCATATTGATTTTCGTTTCCAAACTTAATACTGAAAGTTTGATCTTTTTCTAACTGTCATTAACATTACTACTAGTTCAACTCCGTTACAGTTCTTCTGACTGTAGGTAGGAATTCTTACTGACTACTTTCAAAAGTCTGTGTCAATATGGTGCACGCAATGTCCGGTCGGTCAAAAAATTATTATAATGCAATTTGATTGGTAGAATTTGATTACCATGGTCAAATTGTTCAATTAATCTTTATGCAATTACTCATCTTTATATGTTCTAATAATCCCAACCGTAGCTGCTTCCTTGACTTGACCTTGTTTCGATGACCCAACCTTGCTATATTGGCTGGAACATATGTTCCTGAAGGTTCTACCATGCCAGTCAGGTCGATTGGAGAACGATGAGACTAAAAGCAGCTACTCAAGGTCTGAGGGTGGAGTCGTACTCCCGACTGTAGAGGGGTGTCCTAGCAGTAAGGTGTTTCCGTCGGACAACCAGCATATGCAGCGATGCTGCCTTCTCACACGGAAGGAAGGGTTAGATATGGTCGACCCTAAAAATGTCACACCTCACCCTACCTCACAGATTTCCGTCTCCGGGGGTAAGGGCTGCCCCATAAGGGCTTTTAAAAAGAGCGGAGCTAATACTCTAAAAACTTTTCATAAAAAGGCCGTGCGTGACCAGCCTCAATCAGTTGTTCGTTGGGCTCTGCGGTCACGCTCCCAGGTCTCTAAGACCGACACTAATCTACCTTCCTTTTCAGGTTCCTCATAAAACAACCTTCCACGGTGTAGGCAGCCCGAAACTGATAACCGCCCTCATACCCGTAACAGCACGTTTGACCAAATCGGTCCCAAACAAATCTTTCCTACACCTAATATCTCTAATATATTGAAATACGTTATATCTACGCTAAATTGCAATCCACTAACGGATTGATTGATTGAATGATTTGCAACGCCCATTACCAGTTGATCATAAATTGTAATATTGTACTTATTGAGTCGTGAAAGTAAACTATTTCTTAATGTGTATTTATGAAATTTTTCCTAATGTTCATTTTATGTAGAAAAGTGAGCGCTATTCAAGAATTTCTGGTTCAAATTATCTGTGATTAGATTGTTTACGTTTGTTCTTGCAATCATCTTAAAATAGTGGGAAACGCATAACAGGATAACAAGACCTTTTAAGACTGTTTAGTTATATTAACAACCTAGCTATTCCTAATGCTTAGTATTCTCAAACACCCGATTCACTCGAGACGTTCTCCCTAATTAGAACACGGTTGAACAAGAAAAGCGGTTATATTCCAATAACTAGGTTAGATGGAAAACAGAAAGTCCAAGAGGAAAAGACGGCCGTTTCGTCCAGGTATGGGTCTCATCAGCAGTGCGCATCCACGACTCCTGCTTCTCGCAGGATTCGAACCCGGGACCTTTGGCATTGTAGGCGAACGCCTTACCATCGGACCACTGGTCGCGCAAAATCCCTAGATCAATCAGAGTTAGACATTAACACCGTTGGATGCCGGCCCAGTGGTCCGATGGTAAGGCGTTCGCCTACAATGCCAAAGGTCCCGGGTTCGAATTTTGAGAATGCATTCTTAAAACAAAAGAAATTCACTCTTCTGTTCATTATTTTGTTTTATTGTCTTCTTCTTGTTGTTTTGAATGAATGAATGAATAAAGTGTCTTGTTCAAATAGTTCAATCGTTTATTATTATTATTCTTCAACTAATGTAGATTTTTCAATTATAACTCGTTGGTTTTGAATTTATCAATTAGAATTATGGAGATTATTGTTTCTACAGTGAAATCATCAATCAGTCAGAGGTTAGGCATTTGCGCGAAGGTCCCGGGTTCGAATCCTTCGAGGTGCAGGAATCGTGGTTGCGCATTGCTGATGTGTCCCGTACCCGTACCCGGACAAAACGGCCGTCCAGTGCTTCCAGGTTTCTAATTGTGGTCTAACAATGATTGATTAATGATTTCAAATGTGTAAATATACTGATCTCCATAACTCTAATTGAAAGATTTTGAATTTGTTTGCATTGAATGGTGATCAGTATGGGTTGTCTTTACTTGGAGCCTACTATGAAAAAAAGGCTTACACATTATTATTATCATTATTGAGTAACTGAAACATGGAAATTGTTGAAATAATTTTCTCTTCACTTAATCTATAACTCTTTCTATAACGAATGGTTATAGCAACTGAACTGGTAGAAAATTCTTTACAGTTGGAAATGAGTTATTATATATACATATATATATTGTATATATTACTATATTATAATACTATATATGCAAATATTATTATATATATAGATATATGTTGAATAGACTTTTCTTTCTCTCTCTTCATTTTCTCTACTAGCTTGTTCAAGATCCAACTCGTTTTGATGTATTAGTTATGCCTAATTTATATGGTGATATATTGAGTGATTTAGCCGCTGGTTTAATTGGTGGTCTAGGCGTTACACCAAGTGGTAACATTGGTGAAAGTGGAGCTATATTTGAATCAGTAAGTTTATCTGCTTGTTGTCATTTTAATGTTTAACTGGAATCATTTGCGGTGTAGGTTGTTTAGTCTGTATACCAATCAAATGATAAGCACACTGCGCAGCGGTTCGCTGCTATATATGGCCTAAAGGAAATAGAAGACATTTTCGTAGGCTACTAGTTTTTAGTCTTTGATATCTCCAGACGACTGCTTTTGTATCGTGGAACGACCTAGTGTCCGACAATGAGGTTCAAAATAAGGCTCTATGCGAGGATAATAAATTAGTTGAAATGATTATCACTATTGACCTCCTATGGTCGTTCGGATGTTTCACGTACTTACGCCCAACCGGCGTCTATCTCGATGGTGCCACTAGGTTGTATGATTGACTGACATCACTTTGTTTTGTAGGATTTGATGGGCGAAAATTAGACTTGATGGTATTAATATATAATTGTCGTATGTTGCTAAATTTTCCTATTAAACTCATCTTTTAATCATAAGTGTTTCAGACTAATTTTGCTCTTGTGTATTTTTTGCGTCAAAAAACAAATCAATCATGTCCGAAATGCGATTCTCCTCATCGAAATGAAAAACTTTGATTCAGGATTGGCTAGAATCGGCACTTGAACTAGTGAATAGTCAGTGAAGCAGTTGAACGTGTTAATTGCTCCACTTAACTTGTGAGTCTCGTCAGTGCAGGTAGCCTGGTAACTGACGAAATCTCAGCACGGATACGGAAGGCTCCATTGGATTTTATCAACCTGAGTCATCTATGGCATAGGCGAGATATCCGTCTAGTAACCAAAGGACGAATGTACTGCGCTGTAGTTCACTCTGTCCCACTTTATGGCTGTGAAACATGGCCGGTCAAAGTAGGAGATATTCGTAGCTTGCTGGTCTTCGATCATAGGTACCTTCGAACACATTGCTCATTTATCTTGGGACTATTGAGTAAGCGATGCTGTTGTTAGGGAACGGATACCAGATAAGGATGGCAGATCAATGGATGAATTATTGAAAATTCATCAGTTGGTGTGGTATGACATGTGTTACAAATGTCCAACCACTGACTGTCTCGTCGAGCTATGATTTGCCATGTAGGAATAGGTTGGAATAAAGCTAGGGGCGGCCAGACCAAAACATGACAGAAATCCATAAAGTCACTGACATGTGGATTGATTCATATTGGTAGATGCAGGCTACCTAGTTGGGGTTTGCGAGGTGATTGTCATTGATGGTTAGAGACCTTGAATGACATGACTCAAAAAACCGTTTGCAATGAAGCAGGTGCCTCTATTCTTTGTGTTCCCTCGAACGCTAACCTTCGGTGTTCAGTACCACCTTTGCTTTTTATTTTTAAGTTTATTTCACTAGATTCTACTTCTTTAATAATATCATTGAACCCTAATCTCTCCGATTACTGTTAATACCCTAACTACCTGTAATACTGTGAGATTTGAAATGACAGTTGCATCTCTCTGGTAATGTGGTATGGCTACTTGAACTGATGTACAGACGTAAGTTCTATGTTGCTGTTGACTGACTGCGTCATATATCCTGTTTATCAAAAACATTTGAGAAATTTACTCCTTTTTACTGTGGTGAATTAACGATCTCAGTGAAAAGCATATGTCTATTTATGAAATAAGTTAAAACGAAGTTCAGGATCAGCCATTATGAATGTCAGTTTGTGAATGTTACATTTTCTTTCAACTTCTATGAGATTTTAAACTAGCGATTTCTTTTTTTTTTAATAGCTGATTTTAGTTGAATATTTCCACCCGTAGATTAAAACCTTGTAGACATAGAATATTTCAAATTGTAGTGATCATGGAAATCTTGTATCATGCAATCAGAGCTTTTTATATTTTTATAAAAATAATATTCATCATACACATTTTTCAGGTACATGGTACCGCTCCTGATATTGCTGGTCAAGATCGTGCCAATCCAACAGCTCTTCTGTTTTCAGCTATTATGATGCTTCGTTATATGAATTTAAATAAGTACGCTGATTTAATTGAATCTGCTGTATTGGCCACAATTCGTGAAGCAAAAGTAAGTCATTTCAATTTATATTTTTACTTCACAATTATTTATGTTACTTAGTTAGTTTGTCAGTAGTCAGTAATTTATTCGATTGAATTTTATTGTACAATCTGCAACAGTTCGAAAATCCAAATCCCCTGTATGATTAGCTGCAGTGAGAGCAACCATTACACTGATTATTCGAATTTTAAAAAAAAATTAGGCAATTTGTTTCTATCATGTCTAATACTCTTTAATATTAAATAAAGGCAGATAGTGTTTAATAATCCAAGACACCTTTCGGCCCATTTGGGAATCGTTAGTTGAATATCTCATCCCAGTTTCTATTTACACTGGGTTTCGAATGTATTATTACCTTTCACTTCGAGTACCTAGTTTGTGTAATCAGGCGCTATTGTTGAGGCTTATTTGTTCAGGTAGTTACATTCTCAAGAATAAACCAGTCTACCTCATCAACAATAGGAAGATTCAAACTCTCACAATTGAAGAAATACCCATGACAGTATCTTAAGTTTTTTGTGGTCATCTTGATGGAGATGCCTTGGAGGACGTTAACACCTTTACATATCTGGGCAGCATCATCTACAATCAAGGTGTATCCGATACAAATGTTAGGGTGCGGACCCACAAAGCAAGGGCTGGATTTCTACAATTGAAAAATATCTGGAACTCCAAACAAATATCAATCAACACCAAAATCAGGATTTTCAATACAAATGTCAAGACAGTTCTACTGTATGGAGCGGAAACTTGGAGAACTACGAAAGCCATCATCCACAAGATACAAGTATTTATGAACAGTTGTCTACGCAAAATACTTCGTATTCGTTGGCCAGACACTATCAGCAACAACTTACTGTGGGAGAGAACAAACCGGATTCAGTCGGAGGATGAATTCAGGAAGAAGCTTTGGAAGTGGATAAGACACACACTACAAAAAGCACCTAACTGTGTCGCAAGACAAGCCCTTACTCTGAACCCTCAAGGCCAAAGGAAAAGAGGAAGGCGAAGGAACACATTACGACGAGAAATAGAGAAATATATGAGAGGAATGAATGAAAATTGGACAGAACTGGAAAAGGAAGCCCAGGACAGAGTTGGTTGGAGAAAACTAGTGGACGGCCTATGCTCCATTGGGGGTAACAGGCGTAAGTATGTAAGTAAGTAAAGAATAACTAGACTAATTCTGTACTTCATATTTTCTTTTTAACGATACACTTTTGTCAGCATGTTTATTTTCAAATTTATCGGTTAAAAACTGTTTTACTTCATTAGATTGGTGTATTCTTTTTTGGCAACACAATGGACATATTACTCAAGTGTATTATTATAACTTGAAATAATACGAATTTAACACCACTTGTTTATATTGCTCAATCAGAATTCTGATTTTCTATTAGTTCACTTATATTTTTCATTGGGACTGGTGATTTTCTAAGTGCCGATTGGTTACATCAACCAGTAGACAACAATCAGACAGGACCTTGACACTTTTTAGTCTGTATACAGAAATAAAGATCAGACTAGTTCTCTATTTGTGGTCTATTCAATTGTGAATTAATGGTCATACACTAATATAGAATAAAGTCCTGATCGTATGACAAAATGACCTAACGTTGTCTTAAGTAAACAAGAACGCCGAACAACAGTTTATTCTTCGTGAAAAAGCTCACACGTAGAAAAAACAAGAATAAAATTATCAATAATAACTTAATTAGTAGGCGGTTATGAAAGTTCAATTCTTTTTTTACACACCTTACATTAGGTGACTATTTAAAGTAAGATCAATTAGTGTGCTAGTTGTTATTATAAAGTCTAAAAGTTAAATGTGTACCTAAATAAATAACTGAACAATAACTGCTATATATCTAAATATCTACATTGGTTAATAATAACTTCCAATCTGGATATCATATATATGTATATAAGTCCAAATCTATTAGTATGATGATATGTTAGTTTTCTCACGACTAGATAATAATGTAACTTATCAAATTAGTGTCCTTTCGGCATAAAAAAAATCTTAGTTGAAGTGCATTCCATTGTTTATTGGTCCATTTGTGAGAGTGTATTTTTTACACTTTCCTAATGTCCATGGACTGTAACTAATCGGTTTTACTGTGAATATCTAGTTGACAAATCTGAAATAGAACAGAATGTGCTTCTTATGTGTTCCACTTCATGGATAATATTTCAATGATTTTATTCGAAACAATTTTGATTGAAGTAATTCAGTAGAAATCGTGCGTAACTGGAGTTTCATACTAGTTGGTACTCGTCAGCAATGTATACTTATCGTCTTGTAGGACCTGTTAATGTCGGTGCTATATACAGTCATAATATAACTTACAATAGGTTTTTCTGTAGAGCTATGATAGTTTTTATTATGATGAAACTCTTTGTATTAGGTTGTTATACTCTAAGCTTGCCATTTTTCTATCTACTTTCATTCATTTGTTCATCTGTGTTACTTATATTGCCCTTATAGATTGTGTGATGTTTTTAAAACTCATAATACTTCCATATTGTTAGTCATTAGTGAGACGAGTATATTGGATCCGAATTTGAATTGTATTAATTTCTAGCTATGTTTAAGGAATACATGTAAACGCAGCAGGATTTTCATCGTAGGTATTTTTAAAACATAGTAGAGTTGTGGTGTTGTTCCATTCTCTGAGATGAAGTTTGTACTGACGATGTTCAGAAGAAGAACAATGAAAGCTCCATAACCAAAACTTCGAGCTCAGAGAACGAAACACCACCTCTATCATTCACCTGAGCTACAAATTTTCTCCACCATCTTAAGTATACGGTTTATGGAGCATACAATACAAACAAGTAAAATAAATTGGTTTTTAAGTGTGTAGGTCTTCATCAACTGAAGTGCAGAATGAAGTATTTATTTCATATTCTTAATCACCTCATAACTTGGACAAGCGGCGCTCCCTGATGTAAGAGTAATTTGTAAGGAATTCAGGGACAGCCGAACTTGAATATGAAGTTAAGTCGTCTTGATGCGTACTGGCTACCTGGTCGATATTTAAGCTATAACCACGATCACTGTTTGGAGAAATGAGATTCATAGATTAGAATCTCTCACCATGACTCAGATGCATTCATTCTCAATCCTCTTAGCTATGAGGGTCAGCATTTTAAACATTTCATTTCGTGAATACATTGTTTCCTAGTTGTGTCTACTTCAAGTTTTAGTGTTTTACATTGTTATATTGTCTCTTATTCTACTGTTAATTTTTTATCACTAAATGCCAATAGGGTATAGAAAGTTGGACTAATTTATGTATATTTGCATCTGACTGATAGTAGGATGGAAGAAATAAGTGTAAATTGATTTCACTATTTGATCCTTAGTCAACAAGTCACTTATCAATGGTACCACAATTTAACTAATGTTAGAAATTATGCCTGTTAGATTTAAATGTGATAGTTGGCTTAAAGATAGAGCTATTTTCACGAGACTCGACGATTGTAGATCCGACTTCTGAGAGATTCATGGGTATTCACATTGGTGAAACAACTATAACATGTCCTTCCTGATTTTCAATGATCCTGTTGTTGTTGATATTGATTTGTAACGGAGAACGTTTCTTTTTCACATTGAACTGATGTCAACAATCTGTTAAATTTGTGTTCTGATGAAAGTCATTAGGATGGAATCTTTCGGCTGCAATGTTTAGATATATATATACACTGATCACATACATCTGAGAAGTGTTAATGTGTTTAATGTCTATCTATCTACTTCTTTGTTGGCTGATGTAAATTGACCAACACTTTTAAAAATCGAGATTAACTCACGATCTCGCCATATCTGAAAGTTGTCTCAATCCTTTCTTTAAATTAATATATAACATTGAAATAGTAATTGGTAACTTTTAAAAGAGAAAATTAGTCATATCTCAGCTTTTGAGCCGTTGTCTATGAAGTTTAAACCATTTAGTCCATATAGTCCTATCTGATCAACCTAATAGTATTTGTCATACAATATTTCAAACAATAATTAATTATGTGAACTCTTGAAATTTGATTCTAAAGTCAAGTTGTATTGTAAATCATACTTTCAGATAAATTGTATTTTTATTGATTTTTTTTTTCGGAGTTTGTGATAGTTTTTTTTAATTTTTACATGTATTACATCATGATCTGATGATGATAGTTCAACAACTATTAAGTATCAAGAAGCACTAAACAGTTGTTTCGTTCTAATGTGAGATTTCTCAGGAATATGCACCCCTCCTACCCTACCCTACTTACTGTTGGTCAAACCTAAGACATTCCGACTTGTCTATGAACGTTTAACCTTTAAACCACTGAGTCAGCATTGAATTACTTCAAAATATTATTATGACACAGCCAATAACACTCCATTGATTATAATTTTTCACTAGCACGGACACAAAAGGCTCGATTGGCTTTTGCCAACTTGCGTCACTTATGGCATAGGCGAGATATCCGTCTACTTATCAAAGGACGAGTCTACTGCTCAGTAGTTCTCTCCGTCCCATTTTATGGCTGTGAAACATGGACGGTAAGAGTAGAAGATATTCGTTGGTTTTTTCCTTCGTAGGTGCCTCCAAAGCACTAATCTTGTATCCTGGAACTATCGAGTTAGCATTGCTGTCGTTAGGAAAAAGGCCCTGGATAAGGATAGCAGATCAATAGATGAAGTATTAAAACTTCATCAGTTGAGGTAGATAGAACATGTGTTACGTATGCCTAAACACCGACTGCCTCTTCGAGCTATGTTTTGCGATGTAGGAATAGGTTGAAAGAAAGCTAGTGGTGGCCAGACCAAAACATGGCAAAAATCCATAAAGTCACTGACAAGTGGATTGAGTCATGTTGGTAGTTGTCGACTACTTGGTTGGGGTCCGTGAGATGATAGTCATCGCTGGTTAGAGACCTTGAATGACATGGCTCAAAGGTGTTTCCAATGGCTCAGGTGCATTCATTCTTTGTGTTCTCTCAAATCCTAACTTTCTTAATTCCTC